AGTCTAGTCAGGTTTTCATGTTATTTCACGTCATGTCATGTCTGTTATTTATGTCATTTATCTCTGGTCAAATCCCCGTGTTTCTTGTCATGTCTCGTTTTCCATTTCCTGTTTTATTTTGTACTTACCTCTTGTCTCATTTCAGGCCCTGTTACTTCCTCCCTTTGTGTGTTTTCCCGCCATCGTCAGCGTCTGCCCCGCCCCTGATTGTTTCCACCTGTTCCCACTCACCTCTTGTTTAAATAGTCCTGTCTTCCCCTGTCTTGTGTCAGTTCGTCTTGTTTGTTTCCATGGATGGTCGTGCCAAGCTTCTACTAAGAGAGGATCTTTTCCAGTTTAGTCAGGTTTTGTTATTTTGTTATTCTTTTTACAAATTTAAGTTAATCTTAAGTTCTCCTTTTGTTACGCTTGTTTTTTCCTCCTTGAGAGCGCTTTATGTTAAATCCAGTACCTACTCTGTTAAGAGGGATTTTCTGTTTTATTGGAAATTAAAAATACATTTTTGCAACATTCAAGACTGTCTCTGGGTCGTGCATTTGGGTTCTCCAGTTTGTGTTAAGGTCGTGACATATTGTTGCATCATGCAGCACGCTACTGTTGAAGACAGACACAATTCTGTTCACAAATGTACGGCTTTCTTTTCTTAATTTATATGATATATTGGATCATTTAAACCTTTTTTCTTTACCTAAAACTGTTATTCCACTGGTTTAATCTTTTGAGATGAATTATGTTAAAAGTTTGTTGCACATTTTTTAATGCAAAACCTTGTAAAATACACGATTTCCCCTTTAAAATGTAGTGGAGTAGAAGTATAACGTAGCAAAATGAAAATACTGCAAGTATCTTAAAAGTGAAAGTAAAAACCTTTCATGTTTTACATCCACTAACGCTGTATTAGCCACTGCCAGTGACAAGCTCTGAAGCAAAGAATAACAAATAAGAGATTCTAACTGCACCTACCGTTATAATACATCTACTTCTCACTTCTCCTGTGAGAACTGCATATCTCAAATATTCCACTTTTTATGAGCTCAGAAAAACAATTCAATCAACAGCTTTGTGATGATGCATTTTCCAGCTGATCCAAACGAGGATTTTAAATGGTTTATTGAGCGAGAATTTGCAAAAGGAACAATTTATCCTTCAGTTTATCACAAACAAAATCTGAATCACCAAATCTAGAGCAATGATCTTTTCACTGTGCATGAAGGGTAAGTCAAAACTCATCTGAAAAGTAAATATACAGTAGACAAATGTAGGGAAGTACAATGTGTGTCTCTGAGATGTAGTGGCGTAGTATGAAGTGGCATAAAAGGGAAATTTGTAAATAAATGCACTTTCATTCTACCACTGGCTTCTGTTGATACCATTCAGTGTGTTTTATCTTTCTGCTTCCTTATATGGGAAGTTTCCCTCGAACTGTAAAGTGCAGATAGCATTATTATTAATGTGGAAAAGAGGGAGGCTTTTCATGGTAATGGTGCATTATCTTTTCATGGCAGGTTATTTTCTCAGCTGCCTCAAAATGATGGAATATGCATAAACAAGAAAACCAGAAGCATTATCTCTCCTGACATACCGGACACTCTCCTGGGACCTATGAAAAATGTAGGAGGAAGAACTGCATCCTGGGTCTATTTTCTTACACAAACTGGAAGTGTTTGGAAGGAAATCATTGAGTGGTTTAAGTAATGTTTTGACATCCAAGCAAGCCTTTTGAAAGTGAATACAGGTAGGCAGTGAACCTGTATTCGTTAACATGACCGCGGGGCAAATGAAGGGGGCGAGTCAGTATCAGCTGCAGCAGATGCACGGAGGAAATTGACTCGTTTGAAAACCCGCAGCCAGAAACAATTTCTTATTTCCCTGTTAATCAGGATTGGCGCTAGAAGAGCAGATCCAATCTTCAGTAACAGGAAGCGCGGTAGACCCCCCAGACCCAACCTTTGAAGGGAAACATGGGGCGGGGGCTTCAATAATCTCCCAATTATCTGATCTATCTCCGAACAATATCCCAGCAATGTAGACAGTGCAGTATTTAGACCCCGCTTTAACGAAATTAAGGCAGGGAGTCAACGGAAATCTGGTTAAGCTCAATATCACTTTGTAATTAGAAAGGCATGAAATCTCTTTTTCTGATGCCTTATCCGTCGCAGGGATGATTGGATTAATTTATGGTTAAGAACATAATTAAAGGATGAGGTCAAGCGAGTTCACGTACAGTAAAGTTCATTATAATAAAGCAGGACAAGTCAAGTCAATCAGGCTTTATTCCCCTCATTTTACTTAAAAAGCTTAAGTAGGAAATAAACACATTTGAGCGTTCATTTATTCTAATTATCAGATATGAGAAATTAATTTGAATTGAATCCTCAGAGATTCATGGCGGAGATGTGTTTGCTTTTATTGAGCTTCATTAGCTTCCGTGTCCCAACAGATACATTAAGCAATTCTCACATCCCAATTCACACACATGGTTAAATCTACAAAAGCAGTTGCTGCAGGGTTATAAATGGTGTTTAACATAAACACATAACCAGAGGTAAAATGAAATATTCATAATTTATGTTGAAATAATCTATTACATGTAAAAGTCCTACATTCAAATTTTTATATGACTATTATCAACAAAATGTTCTGAAGGGGCCCGTGGCTTATCTTCAGGTTCATATCAGTATGTAGTGTCTCTCCTGTGACGTGTCTCCATGCTTTGATGTTCAAAAAGCTCTATATTTTCCTCATACTGCCTGTGCTGCAGCACCTCTTTTCACCCTCTGTCTGAAACCAGAGCCCAGTCTGCTCAGCTGGCCGGCTCTGTTGTGATTGGTCAACAGCTTAGAGATGTCCCGCCCCTTAGTCTATCATGTACAATGTGTTGGAGAGAAACTCCCTATGGAGGGAACACAGGGGGTGTTTCTCAATCGCGAGTACGCTTGCTTGGTAGCACATGTCTGCCGAGCATCTTGCTTCAGAAGCGAGTCAAGAATACTTCCTGGCATTCGGAAAACGAAGAGTGGAACAGGCTAGCAAGTGTGCAGGTGTGCGTCATATGAGAGGCCCCGCCTTGCATCTTCCGCCACAGATTTTGGGAAATTGGTCTGTGCGCAAAGCATTGTGGGGATTTTAAGACCGCGGAGTCTACTCATGTGCAGCCTCAAAATTTCTCCAAATGGAGTACGCCGGGCTCCGTAGAATTCCAAGTATACTGGAGATTGGAACAGTACTTCGGCGGCACTCGATGACGTAGTATGATTGAAATCGTGGCTCTGAAGCAGCTTTACTCGCGATTGAGAAACACCCCGGGATTTTAGTCTTTTTTTTTTTATAGAATTGGGAGAGATGAACCCCTCTTTAATGGTCACACATGCAGAGCACACAGCACACAGTGACATGTGTTCTCTGCTTTTAACCCATCCTAGTACCAGGAGTCTAGTACTAGGAGCAGTGGGCAGCTATTGTACAGCGCCCGGGGAGCAATGGGAGTGAGGGGGGGAAGGTGGGTGTCCGGTGCCTTGCTCAAGGGCACCACGGCAGGGCAGGAGGTGAACTGGGACCTCTCCAAGTAGCAGTCCACACTCCACATTTAGGTCTGGTCAGGGACTTGAACCGGCGACCCTACAGCTCACAGTCCAAGCCCCTACTGACTGAGCCACTGCCGGACAGACCATTTACATGCATACAAACCTATGTAACAAGAAGGAAAGAATAAGCCCCCCAAAAGCATAATAAGGCACCTTTAATGCTTGTAATGTTTTTATTGCATTTTTTCATTCATTTGTTGTAAAGCACGTCGAATTGCCTCGTCTTGCCTTGCCTGTAGAGCATATTCATGAAAAGTATTGCAAATGTTATTTCTCCTGGGAAAATGTTATATAACCACCTAGAAAACAAGTCGTGCCAACTCATTTGCACTTTGAATTTACATTAGGTGAGGGTATCTAACTGGTTTTTATTTGAATAATGTGTTTTTGCCTCTTTAGTTAATGTTCTTCTACTGTTTTTATTTTTCCCCTTCATCTGCACTGTACATTTGTTGTTATGACGGTGTAAATGTCCCCGCTGTAGGACGAATAAAGGGTTTCTGATTCTGAAAAAACACTTATATATATACGTAAGTAGTACTTTCACTTGTCATAGAGTGTATTTACAGTGTGGTATTAGTAGTAAGGCAAGGCAAGTTTATTTATATAGCACCTTTCAACACAAGGCAGTTGTAGTAGTAGTAAAAGATATGAATACTTCTTCCACCACTGCACATACTGTATACCAAGTTTGTTTTCACCTACAGCCTCACAACTGTCTCCCCCCTCTCTCTGTGGTTGTTTCTCTCGTTCACACACACGGTTAAACCCCCATCATTACAGGGTGTAAACACTCGGAGCGATGAGGGATCGTCGGTGGGAGTGGCAAAGACCTGGCAAGTCACAGGTGGTTCAGCTCGGGGGAAGACTTGATCACAGGAGACATGTTGACCTGCAGGGACCAGCTGAGTCAGTCAAACTATGAGAAAAACAAGCCCAGTGGTTGTTGGGTTTTTTTCTGTTTGTTTGTGCACACTCAGAGAAGATGTGGGGGAGGTATTATAGTCAGGAGGGGGGGGTTGTTTTGGGAGGTGAAGGAGGGGCTTGTTAGACTCTGGTTAGCAATTACATGTGACTTAGTTTTCGAGCATATGTGATGCAATGATCACCTGAGGGACTGAATGTGATTCATTAAGTCCTGGCACATAATACAACATGTTCATGCACTCCAACAATGTTGGCCCTGCTTACACACAAACAGCAACACTCACTCACACACACACACACACACACACATAGATAGTAGTCTGTAAAACACACATGAGAGACAGAGGAGGATAGAATCAGCCTCGGACGGAGACCATCATCTTCTGCATACTCGGCTGCTGCTGCTGCCGCCGCTGCTGATGTGTGTGTGTGTGGGTGTGTTAGTTCCCTTGGATGAGCACACACACGGCTGAGGATGCAGCTGGGAGCATGAGTTCTGACCGAGAGGAGTATGACATGGTCTGTCAGAAAGCTGTGACCCTAATTGTTGACCTTTGCCTGCACAACAGCTCGCTGCTGGACCCGGACACCTGTCAGGATTACCTCTTCCTGCTGTCCAGCCACAGCTCTGACCGCAAACAACTGGGTAAGGACTATAATTAACTCCTGATCTATATCGGGTGAGGGGCGGCTGCTCCCCTGTTGTGCTTTGTTCATCTCTGTTCTTTAGGTTTTCCTTAAAAAAAAAAGCTAATTTCCGAAGGGTTGCTTTACTTAAACAGGACTGCTAAGGCATCATCCCTGTGTGGTCAAAGAAGACGTTGCTCAGACGGAGCTTCCACTGAACCATTAACACATCTGTAATGAGTTTTCGTGACCCCGGGGCACCAGGGAGCAATAGGTGTATAATACAAACTCACATTGACTCCCCCAGTTTGCTCCAGAGAGCTTCTACCGTGAATAGATAAGCCTTCGGGCTGACTAATGCCAGCTGATGCTGTCCCGACCACTCAGCCTTACAAAGAGAATAAGAGACAAACCTTTGCAGAAGATGTACGCTGTTGCTTCAGAGTGAACAACACAGAGCGGTAATGAGAGTTTAATCTGCTCTGCAAAGTTTCAACATCCTGAATTGAATTATATATTTATTCATGAAGTGTGATTTACACATCTGTTGCAGACTCTTGCATCTGTTGCTCTGGCACTTGAAATGGGCTTCACCCTCTTTAAAGGAATAATCCCTCTCTTGTTAATGGAGCAGCTCCTGCAGGCGCATGTGCTTTCATTCGTCACTGTGTGTATTGTAGTTGGGGGAAGATGTGCCGTTAAATCTGGCAAATATTGTTTCGAAGCGGAGTACTCTGGAGAATTTAGTGTTATTGCAAAAAACATTTAGCAAGATATAACCGAAGGGGATGTGGATTTTAGAGAGAAGACTTTTAGATAACTGAGCTCATTCAATTTGGATTTAAAAACTGGATTTAGAATACATATGATTTCACACTAATAACCTGATCTTATGCATATTAGATATCCTTCACTTTTAGCGTTTCCTCATCCAGCACATTTTGTATTTCTCCCCCTAACATACGAGTTTGACTGAGAAATTGTTTTTTTTAGCTTTGAGAGCAGGTGCACAAGAAATAATAGATAATATTTGTGGCTGCTTTTTCATGGATGGGTCCCTGTTCAGAGTGCATGTCACACCAATCCCCACCAAATCCACTGTCAGCTCACATCACTCTCAGCGGAGGAATTGAACGTACTTCACAGAGCCACTGGCATCCACCACAGAGCTGTGGGGACATTAAATGCCATTGCATGTTATGCATCTGTTGAAGTTAATTAATTCTGTCACATGGAAGCTAAAGACAAGCTGCTTCTTATAATGTTGGAGGATGTGTAGGTTGGGGTGGGGTGGGGAGGGGGGGATGTATGAAATGTTGTTGTTCCCTGTATATGCTTTTCTTTTCTATAATTCATGGTTCCACAGAGAGCAATGTGTGGTTATAAAGAGTGCTTTTCAGACTAAAAAGGTTTTGGCTGAGGTAAGAATGTATATTTATCTTTACTAAGATGTCTTCAAAACACTCACACTAACCAAAAGTTATAATATCCCGACTACTGTAAAGCACAAATGCCTGTTGTGATGATACATTGTTGACGTTGGTGGAGTCTGCCAGAAGATTTATGTTTTCATCTGAATCTTTGGTGATAGTGTCCGTACTGGTAATTGGATTGGATAAAGATCTATGAGTGCAGGCACACACATTGTTCATAGTATCGCTTCAATATAGAGAAAAAAGTTGTTCTTTACCATTAATCTAAGATCAATTAAAAATAATACTTTTTTGAAAATGTTTCAAATTTGAGCGAAACATTTGCACCTATTCCTGTGGTTTATGTATCTTCATGAAGATAGACAAGAGGAGAAAGGACTGAAGGGAATTACATCTTTACAAGCATATACTTTTAATTTGCTTTAATGCACAACATTTTGTTTATGCAGATGTAGCTGTTGTTTTCATGAGAGAGCAATTCCCTCAAAAATGCCCCAGAGTGCTGCGCTCGAAGTTCAAATTATTTCTACTTTGACCTCAATTGCCACTGACCTTTCAAACCGCAACACTAAGAGAACAACTGTATGAAGCAGCAAAGGCAAGAAGTGGAGGTAAACTAACTTACCTTAGCAAAGAGCAAATCTCTTATCAAGTGAAGGCAGCTGCAGAGTGTTAGCTTAGCGTACTAGCCTTCAATATCCGAGTGCAATACAAGATGAGTAGCAGGATCTTTTGTATTTATGTATTAATTTGATTGTTTATGCTTGTTCTAGGTTTGTAAATGTGATGGAGCATGGGGTGCTTTTTTAATGATGTGCTTTTTGTCTGAGTCATCTTATAACGTGCGTCACCAATGGATAAAATGGTATTTCAACTGTCAAACAAATCTACGTGTACTAAAAAATAACATGAACCTGGAGCAGACGGCTAAAATCGTAAACAGTCGATAGCCAAAAAGACAAAGAATTCAAATATTATTAGATATCATTTTCATAAATTTGAACTTTCAAAATTGCATGATTTCAAAATCTCATCACTCCACTTTTCACAATTGACGTGTTTGCGACAAACCCACTCTCCATTCCCATTACGTTACTATTTGTTTTGCTTCATTTGGTCAGTGAAGTGCTTTTTAATGGCTAAGTATAAGTGAACTTGTTGCTCTTAAATATAGAGCATGCACAGTCTTCAATCAAATTGTCATTTTCTCGCTACCTCATTAGCGCTGATAGCTTTGCCACATTTGATCCCCCTGTGACAGCTTTAAAGAGCACATTAGGTTTGCAAACATACAGCTGTTTGAATATATCTGCAGCTATCAGACACACAGAAGCAGAGTCATGTTTCTGTCTGTACTCCCCAGTGTTGTTTGAGCGTCCCCTTGCTGGCTTCAAATCGATTACGATAAAATAGGATTGACTAATTAGAGAGTCTTCTGTCCTGATGCGGCCGGGAGATGATAATCTATTCTCTTTATTGAGCAATTTGTTGAAGTTGGCTGATTGTATTCCAATCAAAGCGGCGCCGGACACACCTGCTGTGCGTGTGAACGGCAACACTTTTTCAGAGAGCTAAATAAGAGCTTGGATCAGCATCTCACACTCTGCTGAGCGAACATTTCTCACTGATCAACTGCCTGCCTCGGGTATTGATATTCACTCCCGGTGTATCACCTGAAAAGGCTGCATGCACTTATAACCCGTGCACCTACCACCCTCTCTTGCAAACAAACACAGCACTCATTACAAATTCCTCTTTCATTATCAGCGGCAGCTTCAGGTGTGTGGGCTTTGAATTTGCGCACGCCCATCTCATCTTGAGGTTTATTAAGCAAGACCTTGGCTCGCAGAGGACATTAGCATCAGCAGATCATTCATTTTAGTTCCCACTGGTATCCAATACGTGTCCGTGGTATTTGCAGAAACGGGATGGTGCATTGCAGGTTGCATCCAAAACATAAAAACAAGAACATTAAATTAACTGCACTGTGGAGATTAGAAAACCTAGGCCGAAAAACCACTGTGCCTTTCAATAATTAATACCGTCTACCGTCTTCTGTGTTTTATTGATACAACATTTCACTGTAGACCACAAAGGAACAGTGTCCGTTGCTGTTGTGGAAGATAACACTCTGTCTGTCATGAAAATACCAAATGCCAATTCTCAAAGGACTATTATTGTATTCATTAGATTAAAAAAGACACAGCATGGGTATTTTTCTTATGGCACCCACTCAAGCAAGGAAACAGAATTAGGTGGGTTTCTGTATTCATCTAGCCTTAATCCTTTCTTTACACCCTTGCACAGGAGTGAAGGTAAACCGTTTTCTTATGTAAGAGTGCTTTCATGACACTGTGGGCCCAAATCAAACAGCGGGTCAGCGAGTCAGCGAGTCAGCGAGTCGTTTCAGATGGGAAGAGGATAGGCAAAGTGGAACACATTTTTCATTAAAGTTAATGCGCTAACGACAAAAGTCAAACAGTGGCTTGAATACCAATCAGCTGAAAGCAGTTTTATAAAGAGAAACGCCTTCATCTCTCTGTCTAAGGACCCTCTGGTGGGCAACCTCCCCCCCCCCCCACCTACATCTTCAATTTTGAAGCTCAATAGCAACTGGGATGTCCCCGAAGGTGCCAATTTCCAGCGATATAATCTGCTCCCCAGTCGAACAGCTGTGGAACTATTGTAAATGTGAACCCATGAATAAATAATAACAATCCTTCTTCCTGTACTCAATAGTGCAGACAACATCACACTGTGTTGTAAGCTCGGTGTTGGTTATTCACAGGAAAAGTGCGCTCCCTGCATCTGTCTCTCCTCCAAAATGCACCAGTGTCATAAATGACAAAAGTGTAAGGAAGGATGGGTAATGCAGAAACCTGCTGTGTGTTATAAGGGCCAGCGCACAGGGCAGGGCCTCTGCTGAGCTATTGAGCAGAAACAACGGATTATTGATTAAAGAATCAGGCCCCAAGCGAGCAGAGCGCTGAGAGCCTCTCACGGCAACGAGAGAGAAAAAACAGAGCATGAGAATTCTTTCTTTACCTTCTGCCCCACTGGAGCGCAAGAATATTCAACAATTTGATGCTATACTGTAACACAAGAATCAACAACTTGATACACACCATACTGCTTGTTTAGTTTCGCTATGAGTGTCGAGCTACAAGTACAACACATATGCCAACCCAGTCTCACGGCATTTCGTGTTATAGTCACAACATTTAATCTATTGATTCGTGTTCACCAACACGATTTTCTCCTTTTTTTCGTGTCACACAGGACGATTTTAAAAGCAATGTATTTCTATTGGTAGTATGTTTCGTGCCTGCAACACGTCTTTTTGTCCGGTCGGGTCTTGGAAGACCGGAAGCTGTGTGGTTCATAAAAACATGTTCTTATTCAATATCAAGCCACGATTATTGTTTTTATTTTAAATCGTATAATGTCAGACTTTTTTTGCCGTCCGTGATGAAAAGAAATGGGGCTCAGAGCCTCAGAATACTGAAATCTGTATTTTTTTTAATCTTTTTTTCCTTCTAATTTGTTATTCTTTTCTAAATAACACACTGTTATTTACTCGACAATA